TCCTAACCAACATTTCCAGTAATCTTCAAGGTGATTTTTTATTCCGTTAATATAATACTCACTTATAATAAAACGTTATATGATCCAAATGCCCCCATTGAGAGAAAAGAGAAACTCTTTGTAATTTATGATAAAAGGGAAAAACACCAAAAACAGTAATATAATAGTGGACATAGGCTTGATTTTAACTCGCGAATGACTTTAAAAGTTATCTCTTGTTCTTAGTTATTTTCGATTTGTTTATTTCTTGTTTTTGACCTATTCATCTCATTTTGTTGGTTAATTTACAACCACGCATCTATCTAATTCAATCCCAACAAAGTTGATCGAGTCTCGCTGATTATTGCGAATTTTCGTAACAATGGAATTTTTACAAAAATACCTTTTACAATAAGATGCAGAAGCCTTTTTTTCCTTTATTATTATTTGTTTAATTTGGAAAATCACTCTCAACAACCAGTAAAACCATTATAATTAATGAGTTCGAGAGAGTAATTAATTTCGGACACTAATTATTGATTATAAATCTATTGTAATTTAATAGAGTTGATAATAAAACTAGAAGATCTTAATTTTATATTACGTCCATAATTTCTAAATAATTATATATAGAAATCAATATAATCTTACCCTTAGATTTTATACATTAATTGTCATTTTTGTAAATTCACGTATCATAATAAAGAATAATACTACACATACAACATTATGTGGTAAAAGATCTTTCGGTGAAAATTTAATTTTAATTTAAAATTAATTAATTATATTTTATCACATAATATTATATAAAAATATTATATATATAATATTATTTCATAACAAATTATGAAATTGCTTGTGCATTATGAAATTACTGCTGCCATATCTCTTACCAAACAAATATAAATAAAAAGAAATATAAAATATTGAAGTGGTAGCATGTTAGGTTACCGGTGAGATGATTTGTGACATTAACGCGTGACCCCACGCCAGAATTGCCCCTTTCTCAAGCTAAGAGTATGGTTTGATATTTGATAAACATGGAAAAAAGGATTCAACTTTCAATTAATAGCCGTAACGGTTAGGTTTCCCGTTTCCCAATATTAAATAATTTGCTTGGCCTATTCAATAAACAATTCATGCCTTTGTTTTTTGGGGTCAAAATTAATTTAAGATACTAGCAACAATAACCCTTTTTTTTTTTTTTTTTTTTTTTTTTTTTTTTTTTTTTTTTTTTTTTTCTTTAATTACGAGTGTTTGAGTCAGCTTATGTGCATCTTGATTAATCTTTTAAGATCTTGAAACTATCGGCCGAATAAGAGTATTAGTGACTAACCTATCACAACCGAGAGTAACAATTACTAATATATATATATATATATAAAGCTAAATACCCATATGGGTTGATCAACATATGACACAATTTGGAAGCTCCAAAATTGCTCAATTTTGACACATTGGATTAACAAACCAATCAAATTGCTCTATCTTGACACATTATGTTGGTATTTATTGCTCCATCTATAATTATTAATTAATTAAAAAATAGGATCTATATTAATAATTAATAATACTAATATAGGTACATTGCATTAGCATTCCAAATGTCTAACCATAATGACATCTTGGATTTGTGATTACCATGTAGTTAAATTTTATTGGTGATGATGTAGATAATATTAATTGCTGCATTGGTATTTCAAAGTCTAAATAAATAGACATAAAGATTGGATACATAGGTGCATTGCATTGGTAGTAAAAACATATTTGTTTATTAATAATTATATAGGTGCATTGTATTAACATTGCAAACTTTTCTTCGTATTCAATTCATATTTAATAATGTTGGCATTCAAAATGTCTAAATAAGGGGTTATAAAAAGGGTGTATATTCAGTTGTGTATTATCACAATATATTAGTTGGTGTCAACAATACGTCTGGTCTTTTGTTAATTGTTTATAGGTCATGTTAGTTTGTGTCAATAATACGTCTATTCTTCATGATTTTGTTAATCAATGATTTTTTATTTATTTATGTTTTAGTTGTTGTTTACAGGTCAAAGATTCATGATTTGGCATGGAATTAAGGAAGGATGTCCGATTGATATTGTCAAATGAATTGTTATTTTGATTCGTTATTCTGACTATAAGTATATCTTCTAACTATTTTAATACGAAATTGTAAGTATATCTCTTAATTATTTTAACGGTTATTATTTGGTTAAATGATTGTTTTTGTTCAGTCAATCTATTTGAATGATTAATTATGTTAATCCTATCGAACGGTAAGTGTATTCTTTAACAATTTTAATATGAAGATTAATTAATTTTTGTTGATTTTGTTTTCAGGTAACAGTTGTTATACGAATGAATAATTGTTCCTTAACATAAAGATTGATTAAATTTTGTTATGTTTGTTTTCAAAGAAATGTTCATGTACTTTACTAAGATCAAATCGAGGATGATCATATTGTCAGCCGAACTGTGAGTATGTGTCATATCTATATTAATAGAAATAATTCATTTGTGTTGAATATGTTTTCTGTAAAAAAATTTGTGTATTTTAATTTGTTATATGAATGATTAATTGTTTATGTCATGCTGATGTGCGAGTATATATGTTAAATGAATAAATTTTGGCTAATTCATTTTTCCAATTAATAGGTGTTATTTGAAATATTTTTTATCAATCCTAATATGATAATCCCTTAAATTTGGGTCAAGTAAACCATTCATTTTATCATCACACGTATTTTAGTTTCCACTGAACAATCAATAATAAATTGACCATAACCTGCTCAATAAAAATCCAATTGATGGAAGAATTGAATCTTTAGAAACTAGACAGACAATACTTTAATTTGATATATTATACCCTAAATTTGGATAATTGTAGCCCCACTACCGAACAATTCCTTTCATCATCACACACATTTCAGCTTCCATTAAACAGTCAGTAGTAAATTGATCGTAATTTGCTCAATAAAAATCCAATTGACGAGATGATTGAATATTTAGAAACTAGACAGATAGTACTTTAATATATATATATATATTAAAGTACACAAAGAGGATAACAAACTCACCTACCATTAATTTTCTTTGACTTTAAAAGATGAAGCCTTAATTTCTACTCCTTTATAGGGAATCGTTACTTCTGTTAAAGGTAGATGAATTGATTCTATCACTTCATTATCTTTTCCTCTTGCGATTTAAAGAAACAAAGAACACAAATAAAAACTTAAATAAACGTTAAAATCAAACATGATGAATGATTATTAAAAGAACTAGAACTTGAAAGATTAAAAGAGAATAATCAAAGAACTTGAAAGATTAAACATTGAATGATTATTGAAAGAAATTTAACTTACAATGAAAGTTTTCTTTTTGGAGAGCTTTTGGGAAGTTTACATCAAAAGAAAGTGAAAGAGAAAGTTTAGAATTGGCTTGGCAAAAGCTTGGTTCACATTGCATGAAGCCTCCTAATTTATAGAAAACCTTATCTCACTATAGCATCACATTAAGTGGAAATACTTGTCAACTTATATTTGATATTTCATTTTCCTTTAGCTTCTTTCACTTTGGTTGCCATTTCTGTATATGCTAACCTATGATAGAGACTTTTGTACCAGTACACGTGTAAGAATAACAATGGTGGACCCATCTGATTGGACTCCCATTCCCATATCACATCCTGATCAAATATGGTTCCAGTAAATGCTCTTAGTTTGATTTGTCCAAAAAAATTTGTTTGGTACAAATGGACCGTGTGATTTGTGGTGATTTTGATGAGATAATGTGATCATCTGTGGGGGTTTCATTACAGGGTTGTTTTATTTCGTAATTAGAGTTTTTTCTTTTTTAAGAATGATTATATATTTAAAATTCTGTTTTATATAATTTACATTGATTTAGGATATTCCTGCTCTAATGAAAAAGATTGTATGCACTTCTTGGCTGTTAGTTTGACGTAAAATATAGTGCTTTGACAGCAAAATATATTATAAGTAGATTAATTAAACATCCTAATCACTTAATTAAGAGTTAACCGACTTTTTCCCACTCAAATAATAGTTTAATGACATTTTTTTACCCACAAACTTTTAAAATATCATTTTATTATTCAAATTTATATTCAGACGATGAATAAAGAGGAATCTCGGTCTAGATTGTTAGAACTTTTGAATAGGGGAGACCAACGAGTCTTTTGATAGTAGAATGTTGGATTTTGGTGTTTGAGATTGATCATAATTTGATTTGAGAGAGATGGCTGTGCAGACCTTAATCATTTGTTTGCTGGCGATTGACCAGATTAGTAAAAATAGGGTTTGAGGGGTTTTAGTGAATAATGATCAGGAAAGAGAATAGTGATGATGAGAGGTCACAAGGATATCGAAATTAAAAATAGAATATAAATTTGAATAATGAACTGGTATTTTAAAAATATATGAGTGAAAAAATATTATTAAATCATTATTTGGATGGGAAAAAATTGTTTACTCCTTAATTAATTATATAAAGAATAAAGATCACTTGCCATCCATATCATTTACTGATCACATTATTCAAATATTTAAACATTTATCAATACGACTTATATGTTAAAAATAAAAATGTCTCAAATTTATTATCGATATCAATATTTCAATTACAAGTAAGTGGTTTAAATTTTTTTATGTAATTAAAGGGTATTCAATTAAAAAATATATAAAACACAGAGAGATAGAGCGAGTATGGGGTGGTAAAAGAAGAGTAGCAAGTGAGAAAGCAGTCACTCAAAAAGAGAGAACTCTCACAGTCCAAATCATATCAAAGGGCAGAGGAAGATAGAGAATGAAAAAGAAAATGACACCACAAACGGCCAAATCTTCAGACAGCCTTTTTTTTTCATCTCCAACCCTTTTCTCGTCTCTCTCTATCTGTGAACCGAACGAATCTCTTCTCTCTCTCATCCACCCCTTTCTCCCATCTCTTTAAAGTATGACCCAAAACCTGTATTTTACTATAAAATTTTTATGAATCATTACTTTGTTTCGTGAACTTGGAGCGTCTCATTCTCTCTTTACTACTAATGCTACACTTGGGTTTGAGAGAAACCATTTTATCTCTTACTTACATTTGCAGAATCATAAACAAACCACGTAGAACTCTTAACTAAAAAAAGCCTCAAAACAATCTACTTTCTTCGAATATCATCTGAATCTGCTTCTTGAACCTCTCATCAATAATCTACTTTTCTTCGGTAAAACCAAAACCAGACGTCAACGTTTTAACCCAAAATCTACTTCTTGTTTTACTAGCAAAATGCCTCGACATACCTTCTTTTTCATTCTCACGTTAACCCTTCTGCTTTCTAGTTTTCATGTCTCTTTTGGTGGTTTACTAGCTGATCCAGTCACGGTGCCGGCATTTCCGGCCCAGACAGAGGCTGCCACTTGCCGGTTAGACCTCTCAGCCGAACTTTTCGGCGGCGTGAATGACGCCTGTGGACGTGACCTAGACCGGAGCAGGTGCTGTCCTGTGTTGGCTGCGTGGCTCTTTGCGGCTCACGCACGCTACGCCCTCGAGGTCCCGGCTGCGGCTCCAGCCGCGGAACCAGATCTTCCAATGATGCCTGACGACTCTCAGAAGTGCGTGAACTCCCTGCAAAGCGCGTTGGTGAGCAAGAACGTGAAGATTCCGCAACCCAATGCGAGTTGTGATGCGATTCTGTGTTTTTGTGGGATTAGGCTGCATCAAATCAGTTCGCTTAGCTGCCCGGCAGCGTTCAATGTCACGGCTGGGTTTCGAAACGTAACTCCAACTGCTGCCGTTAAGAACTTGGAGAAGAACTGCAGAAATTCTTCATACACTGGCTGTACTAAATGCCTTGGCGCCCTTCAAAAGGTAGATTTTATATTATTGGATTTGCATTTATTAGTTTGCTTATGTGCGATTTAATAATAGTTTTTTGCATTAATTTTATCTCCATCAAAGGCACTAATAATCGATGTTATCATGATCTGGACTATAATTAGATGTGGGTCTGCACTCTTATTTGGTTTTGAAAATTATTGGTTTATGATGACAAAGATAATATTAAGTGCCACTTTAGAGGTCATTTACTTTCAAATAAATCTTATCTTCAAATTCAGATCAATTTAGATGATTCAAAATTTGTTCAAAAAAAGGTCTTTTAAAATCAATTAATAAGGATATACAGGAACTTGTCTTTTTAGTATTCGTGTGTGAGATTTTGTTAAAAAAATGAAAGCTTCGTTTCACTTTACCTTTTGGTATTGAATAATGAAATATTGTACACATTACCAGCCAACAATGGCACCCAGATAGGTACAAGCATGAAAGTTAAATGAAATTGGAACACTTGTGTGCTGTACATTTTTTGCCGTTTTGTTAAACAAACTAAAGTCGTTCTGGTAGACCCTCGAAACCGACGTCGTCATGTGCACACCAGTCCTTCGTTTCCGTTTGCACTGCCCATATTTTCCTACCCATGATCTTTTTTTTTTTTTTTTTAGTTATAGGACTAAAAAGCCCTTGTCTTTGTTTGCTATTTACAGTTAACGGGCGGACACAAGAACAGAACAGAAGACGTCGTCGATAACAGGGCAACCAAGATGTTCAACAGAGATTGCCAACTAATGGGGCTGACATGGCTATTGGCACGTAACAAAACGGCGTACATTCCCACCGTTTCGGCAGTGTTGCGTGCCATCATGTACAGTGCGCACCCACCACATGAGTCAAAGTGTAGCCCCGATCAAGAGAACATGCCTTTGGCTGTTGACTCTCTGCAGTTCGAAAAGTCCCAATCCTCTTCATCTTCACCATCATATTCATGGCCTCAAAGCTTTCATGCTTTTTTGTTTCCATTGTTGCCCCTAATCATTCTAGTTTCTGCTGTATTTGTTTAGGGTCAACGATAATGGTGATGCCGGTCTCTGTATAATTTTTTGTGTCTGTCGAGGTCACGTGAAGCTAGGAGACAAAAGACCTGTGCGGGTCGCTTTCTGCTTTTGCCCACTGTAAATTTCAGGCTCGTTTCATATTTGCTTTTGACATGTAGTACGAGTAGGAATTCTTACCCAGTTACTCTTACCATTTATATTATATATATATTTTTCTCTTCTATACATTTATTTTTATCCTATTCTGTTTTTTCCAAATTATTTTTGTTATTTTCATCATTAATTATGGTTTTTGATCAGTAACCAGCTGCTGCTCATGCAATAGCACATGCAGAAATAGTTAAATAAATGATAGGTAAAAAATTAACGACAATAGAACCAAAGCAAGAGGCCATTGAACTTATCAGACCATTATTTTATAAACTTGCAGGGGTAGTTTAAAGTTTTAAATAAATTAAGTAATTATTGGAATGAGTTTCGATGGCACTGATTAACAATTTTGTTAATCATGTAAAAAAAAGGTCTCGAAACGAATCCCCAAGACTGAGTATGTTGGTCGATTATCATTAAAAATTGTAAACAAATGAGTTAATTTAATTTGGTATTGCATGAATTCACATGTTCAAGGGAGAGAATCGCGGTTGAATGTTTGTCCTCAGCATCTCTCATCTCTTCCGCTACAAATGAGATGAATCAGCAGAGCAGAATTTGGCTGAATTTGGGCCAGACTCTTCAAGCCCATTGGGGTAAAAACGGCTGGGTGCACTCTCATTTATAAAATAAAATAAGGTAATCTGTAATTGCAAAAGGCAAGTGCATTTGACTAAGAAATTCAGTAATTCGAATTCCATGTCAATTAAAGGTTTCTCCTGATAATGGATGCATTTGGTAGATTGTAGAATGATCAGCTGTTGTTTCTCAGTTTCAAGAAAGATGATAAGTCGAGCAATCATTCATAATATTTTTAAAATCATTTTACAGAAAGAAATTTTCCAACTTAAACATTCATTATAGAAGCTAGCTTTGGCAAAGATTTCCACCAAGTTTTAATGGATAGTTCATGCAATATTTTACATGGTTCGTTCAAAAACCATTATGGAGATAATAATAAGTCCAATCAATCTTCAAGTAAGCCAGAAGAAAACCTTACCAGCCTTTGCCTATGAGCCACAACCAATCAAGTGTAACCCCAGCAAATATACCTCCTAGCAGAAAAAACACAAGCATATTTCCAAGTGCATTTTGTTCTGGTCCCTACAAGAATTAGATACAGTCATTACTTTTCAAATTCTACTAAAAGCTTAGTGAACTGATATATAACTTTCCGGTAGTGTGTCGTTAAACAAACCTTGTAGTCTTTTGGTGGTGAAGTAAGAACACAAACTGTGACATAACCATTACATTACTTACACCCATCAAGGATGTTAACATTATCATCCAGCCTTGGTCACCATTTTTCGCCCTGAAATAGAAAGCTGGGATCAGTAAGAAACGAGAAAGAATTGCTAACATCAGACCTTTTCGAGACTCCAACTTCAAGAACTTCAGGAGTGGAATACATCTCCCAATAAGATCCCACACATTATACATTGCTGTCAAAACGAGTGCATACCTGAAAAATATATTTACACACGTCAATTTATCACCCCACACTAGCAGAGCTGTGGACATTAGATGCCTAAAAAATTACTGGCAAGTGCCAGGGTATTGCAAGAATTTTATTTGTGGACTGAAGATACAACAAAAGCAACAGAACTAACTAAATTAATCTAATGAATGCATAAGCATATACCACGTACCCAAACTGTGTGATCCAGTATCTTCAAATAAGAATCCAGGGAATATTGACAATGTCAACACATGAATGAGAAACATGTCAAGTGCATAATCAATGTTCTTATATAATAACTCTTTGTTGCTCAGCCGCTCAAATTGTTTCTCATCCTGCATCAAATTGTTAAGGGTTAAAAAAGATTGAAATGTTATACAATATGAATTTTTTTTCTTGCTTATCGTTAGAGAAAGGAACATACTTCTCCAGGTAATGTTTGAATGCCACCAGCAGCAAGGTCAGCTGAGACAGTTTTGGATCCTTCTGAGGCTGCCTTAGCACGGTAGTACTTCACAATGGGCAGTTTTGGAAAGGCATAGGCATAGAGAAGAACACAAATAAGCTCAAAAACAACTGAGATGGCAAAGAATAGAACTGCAAGAAATGGTAAAGGTAATTTGTATTTAGCTACCAAACAAGAGAGTTTTTGTGTCTGTTATTCCATTAAACATTAGTTTATTGAAAACTAGCTAGAAATAGGAGCACACAAGATTGCTACAGCATAACATACTTACGCCCTTGCGAAGACCATCCTGAGAGTTCTCGAAAACTCTTTTGTGATTAGCATCAAAGCAGAGGTTAGAGTCCCTGATGCCGCCAAACCAGCAATGAAAGACTGAGGAATGTGAAAAAAAGTGAACGTCAAAATTTAAAATCAGAAAAATAATTGGAATATAGCAATGCCAAATGCATATACTGACTTGAATTAATTCAGTGCTCATGAAGGAAAGGTCTCCAACCATTCCACCCTGCACATGTGCATCAGCAACTCCAACAGCACCACTAATGGCCCATATTCCAATGAAAGTTCCGAGTCCTCCTTTCCCTGATGTAGCTAAATCCAGCTAGAGACAGAAAATTAAGGATAAAGGATTACAATGGTTTCAAGGGATATAACGTACAATTGAATTAAATATACATCTATGGCAGATATAAGGTAATTAAGGTTCAGGAGTACATTAGATTGGTATAACTTTAATATAAGAGGATGGTATTTACGACTAAACCAAAAGGGTACTAAAAAAGAACAGGATATGGCCAAACAGATTTCTTCTTCTAGTATTGGTTTTTGCTTCATTTTATGCCAGAATTGCAAGTGTTCCAAGTGCAAACGCCAGATACACAAGAGTAAGGACCCCTGAGGGGTGGTATTGCTGCAAGAGTAAATGAAAACTTAGATCATCAATCACTTGCCAAAGCAATAACTACAGCAAGGAAAATAATCTGTATGTTATGAAAACAACTTCCTTAGAAGATTTGACGAGACACTTAAAAGTATCAAATCCATATAATATATATCGTGGCAGTTTATGATAATACTCTATTTCGATAGCTTTCTTCGTAAGTAATATCAAATGGCAAACAGGACAAAGCAGAAAAAACTTCTTGAATATTATAATACATGAGTAAATTTTAAAATTTAATAAAACCGGGTCATTTATATGTTGTCAATAAAATGATGCTATTATCAAAAACTGGTAGAAAACTCTGTTTTTAAGCCACTTATTCGGTTTAACATTAAACCAAAAGCAGTTCATGTTATCCAGATACACCATAAGATTTGAGATTTCTGCATGATTTATTGGTTCTAATTGAAGGATAGGTCGGTAGTATTTCACAAAGCCTTCAAAAAGAATACAAGATTGGGACTTGAAAATTACCTGGAACAGGTAAAAATAGTAGTCTTCTACTGTCAGCATACTGTTCCATGAAACGAGGCACCCGATTCCGAGAACCCAACCCTAAACCATCGCAGCATACTTCCCCTGAATTATAGCAAATATGTCAGAAATTTTTTCAACAAATATCTCATCCTGTATATATACTAAATAAAGAAATCGAAAGGTCTAACAAAAAACCTCATCCATCAGGTGAAACCATTACAGCTTCCAAAAAGCAATTGCAAACTAGTAGAGAAACATTCTTATGGACCTGCAATAGTCTAAACCTGTATACAGCCCAAGAAGAGAACATAGGAATCATGCATCAAAGATCGGTTAATAGTTTGCAGAAAGAATAAAAGCACTTAAAGCATAAATAGTACACAACGGAGCTTAGAAAGGCTGAATAATTATTACATGAGCATAACAACATGTCAACAGAACAAGGCCTTACTAAACTCTCAATAAAACTTGCACATCAATGAACATAATGCACCTCAAATAATTATATCCACAAAGTTCTTTTGACCAAAAAAATTCATGCCCAATTGCCCATAAACACCAAGGAGAGCAAAGGAGCTCTTAGCTATACAAATAACAGTGCCCAGAAAGTCCAAGAAGATACTTTCAGGAAATATTTTTGTTTATACTAGACTTCCTGAGCTTGACTTAGACAAATAATAGGGCAAGAAACTTTTTGTCTTACTGGGAAGAAATCATTGACAGAGTACAAGTCTAAAAGATGCATGTAAATACAGATGCCCTCTTTTTTTTTTCTCAACAATCAAACATGAATTATCAATAAAATTTTAAAGTTAATTTATGCAAAGCTGATTACTTGAGTGGTTTAACTCTAGGGGCCAGCCTAACCTTGCCTTTTATAGAAATCATAAACCATGATTCTGAAGCGGAGATTGAACTCCTGGAGCCTAACCATCTTCCACATATACAAGCTTTCTTTTATGCACCACTTCCCAGATGACCCACAAGTTATGTTTATTGAATTGACAAAAGGATATCATGGACATTGTTTTTACTTCGTTAACGAACAAAGTTGAATGTCATTAGCGCGAAGCAAATCTTCTTTGTGACTTTCATGACTTCATATACAGCCATGGACACAGAGTAGAGCCGATGATGAAATTATTTAATTAGTGCTAGATAAAGGGAACTTGACTTAATTAATCATATTTTAAGGGATCAAAATGAAATGTGAATTTTAGGCCACTCTCATTTTTTTTATTTTTAATTTTTATTACCCTTTATTTTCAACCCTCATCAAAATAAACGCTATTGACTTCATTACAATCAAATGGCAAAACAAAAGCTCAAATGTCAACTTTAGCTTTCACATTCCAAATTTCCAATTGATTTAGCACTTGCTAATGTACGTTTAGGATTCAGAGTATTAGAACTGAAGCTCGGGTCATCAAGGGGCTTCAAGCGGTGTCTCAATAGTTTCCTAATTACAGAGTTTTTTAAGAACAAGAATTTTTTAATTTGACGAATAGAAAGTTTTTAATATAAATATATTGGTTAATTATATAAGTCAATTTTCCATAAATGTATATTAAATAAAACCAAATAGCAAGATGACAATGAGCATACAACTTGCCAAGGTTAGTGATTGTTTAAATTTAAAGATTTAGTAATTATTGGAATTAGACAATTAGGTTTAGGTTTTGTTAATCTATCAGGCAAACGTAAGGATCACGAAGAAACCCCCAATACTAAAAAAGGTCGTTTGCTCAGTAACTAAAATATAAACCAAAGTCAATTTAATTAGAATTGTGAATTGTGATGTTCACAACTCTCAATATGATGTACAGCAATTGTCGACTGTTTTTCAGTTGAGACAAGAAGATAAATCAGGATATCATTCATTCACAATATTTTCAATGGTTATTAGAGTAACTGTACAACTCAAAAATGTTTTCGATGCTAAACTAGAATATAAAAATTACTACGCATCTTCAAATCAGACAGAATCCAACGTTACCAACCTTTGCCTATGAGCCACAACCAATCCAGTGTAACCCCAGCAAATATACCTCCTAGAAGAAACAACACAAGCAAATTTCCAAGTGCATTTTGCTCCGGTCCCTATACAAATTCAAATATAATCAATAACATTTCAAAAACTGGTAAATGCTTTGTCAACTGATAGTCCAAGTATGGTGTAATAAACGAACCTTATACCCTCTAGGTGCAGAAGTAAGGACACAAACAGTGAGGTAACCATTAGTTAAACCCAAGAAGGATGTTAGCATAATCATCCACCCTTGGTCACCGTATTTGGCTGTGAAGTAGAACGNAACAAAGTTGAATGTCATTAGCGCGAAGCAAATCTTCTTTGTGACTTTCATGACTTCATATACAGCCATGGACACAGAGTAGAGCCGATGATGAAATTATTTAATTAGTGCTAGATAAAGGGAACTTGACTTAATTAATCAGATTTTAAGGGATCAAAATGAAATGTGAATTTTAGGCCACTCTCATTTTTTTTATTTTTAATTTTTATTACCCTTTATTTTCAACCCTCATCAAAATAAACGCTATTGACTTCATTACAATCAAATGGCAAAACAAAAGCTCAAATGTCAACTTTAGCTTTCACATTCCAAATTTCCAATTGATTTAGCACTTGCTAATGTACGTTTAGGATTCAGAGTATTAGAACTGAAGCTCGGGTCATCAAGGGGCTTCAAGCGGTGTCTCAATAGTTTCCTAATTACAGAGTTTTTTAAGAACAAGAATTTTTTAATTTGACGAATAGAAAGTTTTTAATATAAATATATTGGTTAATTATATAAGTCAATTTTCCATAAATGTATATTAAATAAAACCAAATAGCAAGATGACAATGAGCATACAACTTGCCAAGGTTAGTGATTGTTTAAATTTAAAGATTTAGTAATTATTGGAATTAGACAATTAGGTTTAGGTTTTGTTAATCTATCAGGCAAACGTAAGGATCACGAAGAAACCCCCAATACTAAAAAAGGTCGTTTGCTCAGTAACTAAAATATAAACCAAAGTCAATTTAATTAGAATTGTGAATTGTGATGTTCACAACTCTCAATATGATGTACAGCAATTGTCGACTGTTTTTCAGTTGAGACAAGAAGATAAATCAGGATATCATTCATTCACAATATTTTCAATGGTTATTAGAGTAACTGTACAACTCAAAAATGTTTTCGATGCTAAACTAGAATATAAAAATTACTACGCATCTTCAAATCAGACAGAATCCAACGTTACCAACCTTTGCCTATGAGCCACAACCAATCCAGTGTAACCCCAGCAAATATACCTCCTAGAAGAAACAACACAAGCAAATTTCCAAGTGCATTTTGCTCCGGTCCCTATACAAATTCAAATATAATCAATAACATTTCAAAAACTGGTAAATGCTTTGTCAACTGATAGTCCAAGTATGGTGTAATAAACGAACCTTATACCCTCTAGGTGCAGAAGTAAGGACACAAACAGTGAGGTAACCATTAGTTAAACCCAAGAAGGATGTTAGCATAATCATCCACCCTTGGTCACCGTATTTGGCTGTGAAGTAGAACGCTGGGATGAGTAAGAAACGAGAAAGAGTTGCTACCATGAGACCTTTTCTAGACTCCAACTTCAAGAATTTTATGAGTGGAATGTATCTCCCAATAAGATCGCACACATTATACATCGCTATCAAAACGAGTGCATACCTGAAGAGTAAACACATGTCAGGATGCCATTGTTGACACAGAGACAAGAATATAGAGGCACCAAGGAATAGGTTGTAAAAAAATCATAATGTATAGACAGTATAAATTGACAGAAGTTAACACTGATGAAATAAACTACTTATGTTGCTCTTGATGAGTACTTACCATGTACCCAGACTGTGTGATCCAGTATCTTCAGATAAAAATCCAGGAAAAATTGATAATGTCAGAACATAAATGAGAAACATATCAAGTGCATAATCAATATTCTGAAATAATAACTGTTTGTTGCTCAGCCTCTGAAATTGTTCTTCATCCTGCATTAAATTGTGAAGTATTATGAAAAATTGAATTGTGAAGTACCAGGAACCTTTTGTTTCATATAATTACAGAAGAGCAATACTTGTTCTTTGAGTAATGTTTGGATGCCACCAGCAGCAAGGTCAGCTGAAACAGTTTTGGATCCTTCTGAGGCTGCCTTGGCGCGGTAGTACTTCACAATCGGTAGTTTTGGAAAGAAATAAGCATAGAGGAGAACGCAAAGAAGCTCAAAAAGAGTTGAGATGGTGAAGAATATAACTGCAAGAAGCAGTAAAAGGTTTAAAAGTTTGTCTCCACAATAGTTTTATAAACCTATCTACTAAAAGGAACACAGGACTACAACAGCAGAACAGCTTTCTAGAGTAGAGCAGAATTTGGCATAGTGGTCCTTTGTACAAAACTGGTTAAACTAATTAAACATCTAATATCATAAAGTACTCCTAAAAGTTCAGGATTCATAAATAGAATTTTGATAAAGCCACGGTCATCGAAATCATCTAGTCATCATGCTGTTTGTCATAACTTTTATACCATACATCACTCATCAATGAACTGTATCTCCTGACTATGATTCTATAAAGGAGATTGGTAAGCATAGGCATCATGTTATTCACTTCTGTCGGGCTGCTTACAATGAAAATGACAAACGTAAAAATGGAGCTCAAACATACAAATTGTGGTAAAAGGGCTCCTAGTTCGTTGGAAGGAAGAGCATGATGGAATATAGTTTACTTTCCAATTTAGATAATATATCTGGCGGTAGAGGAATTTATTTCCTTTTCCTTTCCTATTTTCTGATTGAAAACAAACACAACAAGAAATTTGAACATACTAGCCCCCTTGCGAAGACCATCCCTTGAGTTCTCAAAAGCTGCTTTTGTGATTAGTCTCAAAGCAGATGTTAAAGCCCCTGATGCAGCCAAACCGGCGAGGAAAGACTGAAGAATATGAAACAAAAGAGAATTTAATTTTTTTAAATCAGATCAAGAAATACCGAAAACAGAGAAATGACTAGGCTATAGAAGCTCCAACCACATATACTGACTTGAATTAATTCAGGTCCCATGAACGAAAGGTCTCCAACCATTCCACCCTGCACATGAGCATCAGCAACTCCAAAAGCACCACTAATGGCAAAAATGCCAATGAAAGTTACAAGTCCCCCTTTCCCAGATGTAGCTAAATCCAGCTACCACAGGAAAAAAAAAAAAAAAAAAAAATGAAAAGACAGGACCGGAGGGATATAAATTGCAATTGATTGATACATGAAACACAGGTAACATCCAGGTGCATATCGGATGGTATAATTTTAATACAAGAGAACGGTACTTACAACTAAAACCAAAAGAGTACTTAAGAAAAACAGAGTATATCCAAATATATTTCTTCTTCTGGTATTAATTTTTGCCTCATGGTATGCTAGAATTGCAAGTGTTCCAAGTGCAAATGGTTGATACACAAGAGTAAGGACCCTTGAGGGGTGGTATCTCTGTGAAAGGAAATGAGGACTTAGTTCAATCACTTAGCAAAGTCAGTAATGATCTGAAAATACTGTCAAGAGAATTTTATAATCTTCAAACTACTTAAGAAAAGATAATTTCAACTGCAAATTCTATGTAGGCCAATTTTTAGGTTTTTTATTATAGAAAAAGCAGTTGAACGAATATCTTCTAAAGCCTACAAGAGAATACAAAATTGGATATGAAATTTACTGGGAACAAGTAAACATAGTAATCTTCGATTGTCAGCATACTGTTCCACGAAAAGAGGCACCCATTTCCGAGAAGCCAACACACAACCATGGCAGCATATTTTCCCTAAATTGCAGCAAATGTAAATTAGAAATTTCTTCAAGAAATTATGAAAATAAGGAATCAAAAAGTCCAATGACAAACCTCAAGCTTAGCTGGAGCCCTATCAGGTGAAACCATAACTCTTTCCTTTCAAATAGCTAAAACAACCGCAAATTAGCACAAAAAAACTGAAACAATATAGAGTAAATCATGTATGCACATAAAGAATAGATCATAAAAATCGTGTATCGATGCCAAGTTTAAGTTAATTTTACGGGTTATAAATTTCATAGCAACCAGCACAAATAATAAAAGGACACTTTTTTATTTTATTAGACAAATTGAAACCTCCTCACCCTTACAATACTAAACTAACAATTTGGGGTATAAATAATAGCACAAAACTCACATTAATCATTCCTCAACGATAGTGCAACAACCAAGGGTTGAGAAATAATTGCATGATCACAACATCTCAACATAAATATGGCATCACGCATCAAAATGTTGAATATGTCAAACAATCCAATCAATAAAACACGATAAAATCAAGTCTGCCTATGAAACTTCATGACAAGAAAGTACTTCCACGTTACCAAAAATTTCAACTTTCTCACCAAGAAAGTATATCCACGACTAAACCTCACAAACTATAAACACTTCATAACAAGAGAGACATACACAGAAGGCATATAAAGAAAAACAATCTTCGTAGAACCAAAATAAATTCATAAGAACATAGTGAGAGATAATATTTAAAATACGAAAAATAAAAAAGAGAGATTGAACTTACCGTTTGCAGGTGAGCACATATGCAGATATGCTTACTCGGAGAAGAGACTCCTGGACTTTTTTTAATTTTATTTATTATAATTATTAATTAGAATCTGAATCTGAATCTCGATAAGTGAGACGGAAAGAATAAAACAAATAAACAGAGAACACTTAAATCGACCTTTTTTAGGTTTTCTGAGGAATATTCTAGGCCTATAAGCTGTTGCCAAACAAGATGTTTCGACTTTTAAGCAATTTTAAGTTTACACAGTTGGTCGTAGGTTTATTAGGCTTATGCGTATCTTCTTCTCTCTTTCATGTTCAACACGTGTGAGCCAGGGTATTTTCGTCTCCAACACCTCATGCCGTCATGCGGTTTTTTTTGTCAAATTCGTCCATCTTTAAATCTGGTCAATACTAAATGGTAAATTCTGATAAAGGATAAGAATATGTTTGAAAAGGAATATGATGTTATAATATTAATAGGGATTAAATTCCTTTAATGATATCAAATACCTATACATCTGTCCATTTATTTGTTTTATACTGCCAATTATATAGAAGGTTATTTATTCTTTTAATATACAAAACTCTTTTTTCCAATACCCTAAATTCCTTATTTTTTTTAGGGATTAATTTTTTATATATGGGAGAAGATGAAAAAGGTAAATTATTTTAACATTCATCCTATGCTAATTGATATTACTTGTTAAAAATTCTTTAGTTTTTTAGTTCTATAATAGTTAAGTTTATTAGACAAAAAATATTGTGTACAAAGAATATGTATAGAATAGGCTGTCTATGAAGTGAGATGAAGATGGCGATTGATTTTAACTCAAAAAAAAAAAAAAAAGGGATAATAAGGTTAACAAAGAAATTAAAAAAAAACAATATTAAAGACGGGTAATTTTAAAATGAAATATAAGATATTTATAAGTTCAAATTTTTAAATTATAATCTTATTATTAATGGGCTTAGAAAGAAATTTGTGAGTTATGAGGCTGATCTTTTGACTTCATATATATTGATTATTATTATTATTATTATTACTTATACAACATGGATTTTAGGTTTTGTTAGTTTGTGGATTGCGGATACAAACTAAAAAATGAAAAAAAAAAAAAAAAAAAAGAGAGTATTGTTATTAAAAGTTTAAACCCCTCAAGAACTCTTTATTATTAGTCTCCTTTAAATTGTATTTATAAATATATATGATTTGTCACAACAATACCCTTTTTATAAGATTTTCTCAATCGTAATTTTAATGGAACCATTCATTGTCTTGCATACAGCGATGGAAGAGTTTGATTAACTTCGATTTTGCTTGGGTTTGACAGAGAAGCAATTTAAATTTGATATGTACATGATAAATACTAACACTTTCTCCGATACCCCCCACATTTTCCTATGCCCACAAAGTTATCTCCAAAATATGTATGGTTTTTATTGAATTTTAAAAAAAAAAAAATTAATTGTTTTAATGTGATTAAACCTAAACAAATATAAAAAGTTTCTTTGAGAGTTGGCATAAATTTATGATGATTTCGACTTAAAAACTTGGTAGGATTGAATGAATGCTTATCAGCTTACGACATTTTATCGCACAATGATACAAATTACTAAGGTGATTATTTTGGACTTAATTAGTAATTACTAGTTTTATTAAATTTCTAACTTAAAAATAAAACAAGTTAAACTATGTAATCTTAATTAAATAGAAAATCAAATAAAAGAGGCAATTGAGGAATGTACCTCATAAATGAGTATGCCCAAAAGATATTTTTAAGAAGATAAAAGAGGTAATTAAAGAGCCCCGGAGTATGCTTAAGAAATATTTTTGAGAGAGCAAAGGAGGCAATTGAAGAGCCCTGACGTATACTTGAGAGATATCTTTGAAAAGACAAGAATTGTACTCACTTGAATTGAATTGTTTGTATTGAGTTGTTGTAAATTATATGTGAATACATGACTTATTTATATAAAGATATTGTGATAACTATGTAAAGATATAAAATATTATAATAATGATGAAATCTCTACCATAAAGGAAATTAAATAATATATAAAATACATTAGGAATGATTCTATGTTCATATGTCAACAATTTGCTTAGAGATTGGGTTAGAAAGATAAATAGTAACTATGACATAGCTATATATATAAATAATTTTGAAGTTATAAAAGTGAATCACCACTGCATAATTTGATGTTCATCTAATTCAATCCAAAAGTAATGAGGGCAAAACTATGAGTTTTAATAAGATAAACATGCATATTTTTTGTGATTTTTACTTCATTATATTTATGGTTATGTTATGACTATTCTAGAAATATGTACGAGTGTATTTGTTTTATTATTTTGAGTAATATTTCTGAAAAAGTTGAGTTGAATTATCATGATGATGATAAGACTTGAATTTGAAAATACGTTTGGTAAGATTATTTTTTAATCCTCTACAATTATTAATTTAGTTAAACACTCCTTATAATAAAAATTTTAAAATTAATAAAAACACATTCACCCACCCATTAAATGCCGACAGCCGACCACCACTGTCGGAGGGTGGCTGGAAGTCGCTGGAATGATGTACAACTAACTGGTTGGAGGTGTTTAGTTAAATTAACAAACTTAGAGGGTTAAAAAAATCTAAATATTTTGAGTTAAATATAATATAATTAAATTTTAAAAATAATGAAACAAATATGTATTTTAAATATAATAAGATAGAAATAAGGAAATATACACAATTTACCTAATGCTGTATTTACATTTTCTATTCAAACAGTAATTAATATTACGCTTTATCATTTCCTAGTTTCATTTCAACGATTTCTTAAAATGGACGGTCCGGATTTGTTATCTACTTTTATCTCCACAAATTACAACACCAACAATTTCTTTTCTTTTCTTTTCAAGCTCTTCTACATTTTAAAGCGCTGTTCTGGTGGTGACCGACCAAATCTTAAAAAAAACGGCGTGATTTCAGATTAATTAATTGTGTGTCACAATCTCCTTGAACACTCGGTAAAAGTAAGGGGGCAACTAACACATACTCAAAGTTTGTAAAGGTAAAGTATACTGAAATGTTTGAAAATGACAAACACCCATTTTTTGTTATATTTTATTAAAAAAATTTATCTGTTAAAAGATAAAAATAGTAAAAAAACTAAAATATCTATCAATCTCTATTTTTAATGTGTGCCAATAAGGGTCAGTGTCATTGTTTATCATCAAATTTTATAGAAAAATACTAAATCTGATTAAAAAATCGATTGATGACGTAAGAGGGTTGTGCAAACAGGCTTGGGGTGAGAATAAAATTACTAAACTATCTTTTAACAGATAAAAACCCTTTACAGAATATGACAGAAAATATTTATTTCACATTTTTAAATCTTTTGGGTATATTTATTTGTCATTTCTAAATTTTTTGGAGATTAGAAATCTTTTGGATATTAATCTGTCTTTATGTCAAACTTTAGGCAGGTGGAAGTCGTTCGGCCTAAAAGTAATCTAAAACTCTTTTTATGTGAAAGGATTTATGATCATTTATCTATTCTTGAACTCTACATTTTTTTATATATATTTATTTAACAATGCAACCTATTCGTACATTAATGACAGTAGAAGTAGAAGTGAAAAATTTATTAGTGTTGAATAAATTATTCATGTATTTATCTAATTCAATCATTACCATCTTTTCATTTATAAAAATTGGAGAGAATATAGCATATATAAAAACAGAAGCTTTAATTAAAATGGATGCATGTCGAAGAATCATAAATTTAAATATTTTGAATTTCATTAACACAATGTTGTACAACCATAAATTAAAACCTGCCTTCAATTAGAAATTTGATCTGTTGTTATATACAATAAAATATATTGTTAACATTGTTGGATTGGTGGAGTCTTGTGAAAAAGTCTTGTAAACTGACCAAATTAGGTTCGACACTTCAACAGCCATTACAAAGTGAGCCTCTGCATGAACAAAATCTGTCTAAACCAGAAACAACATACCGTCACCCCGAGGCTGTGCACCCTCCAGACTGTCCGATCCAAAATCTCTGAAACCCACTTAATCATTGACCACTTAACTACTACTTAATTAAGAGTCATTTGACTGGTGCCCATTTTATAAATTTTAATTTATCACATCAAACTTCCCAACCGCCATAAACGTATGGCTTCATAAATATAATGTTGTCTTATATCAACCTCTCTTCGCCTTCATTCACTGTATATATACCCTTATAATGCAATCTCCCATCACAACACCACAACCTCTCCCTTTGTAAACCATTCCAGTTAAGCCTTCAAAATGGGTAGCCTCGATTCAAACATGGCCGAGTCTTGCCAATTCAAGCCTTTAAATCCTGAAGAGTTCAGAAAGCAAGCACATGAAATGGTTGATTTCATTGCTGATTACTACCAAAACATTGAATCATTTCCAGTTCTCAGCCAAGTCCAACCAGGCTACCTCCGGGAACGCCTACCCAAAACTGCACCATACCGACCCGAGTCCTTTGAAACCATAATTAAAGACATTCAAAAAGACATAATCCCCGGTATGACTCATTGGTTAAGCCCAAACTTCTTTGCATTTTTTCCTGCTACCGTAAGCACGGCAGCTTTTCTTGGAGAAATGCTGTGTACTGGCTTTAACTCCGTTGGTTTCAACTGGATTGCCTCTCCAGCTGCAACTGAGCTTGAGATGGTTGTCATGGATTGGCTTGCTAATATGCTCAAACTTCCAAAATCCTTTATGTTTTCAGGCACTGGTGGTGGTGTTATTCAAAACACTACCAGTGAATCCATTCTTGTTACTCTCGTTGCCGCCAGAGATAAAGCTCTTGATGTTATTGGCATAAATAACACGTGTAAACTTGTTGTTTATTGCTCCGATCAGACTCATTCTACGTTCACAAAAGTCTGTAAATTAGCCGGTATATATCCTAGTAACATTAGGTTAATACCCACCACCATAGATACGGATTTTTCTTTCTCTCCTCTACTTCTTCGTAAAGTTGTGGAAGCTGACATGGCAGCGGGGTTGGTCCCACTTTACTTATGTGCAACAGTGGGGACAACGTCAACCGCAGCCATTGATCCCATTGAACCGCTTGCTGAGGTGGCAAAAGAATTCGGCATTTGGTTCCACGTCGACGCTGCTTACGGTGGTAGTGCATGTATTTGTCCCGAGTTTAGACACTACTTCAATGGTATCGAACAAATTGACTCACTCAGTTTGAGTCCTCATAAATGGCTTCTCAGTTACTTGGATTGTTGTTGCTTGTGGGTCAAAAATCCAAGTGGACTTACCAAAGCATTAAGCACCAACCCGGAGTATTTGAGAAACAAACAAAGCGAATCGGATTTGGTTGTGGATTATAAGGATTGGCAGGTGGGTACGGGTCGAAAATTCAAGTCGCTCCGGTTATGGATGATTCTACGTACCTCTGGTCTGGTTAACCTCCAAAGCCACATCCGCTCTGATGTTCGCATGGCCAAAATGTTTGAGGTGCTCGTAAAATCGGATCCCCGATTCGAGATCGTAGTGCCTAGACAGTTTGCACTGGTATGTCTTCGGCTAAACCCATGTTCTGAGGTTGGGTCGGGTTATATAGAGATGTTGAACCGTAAACTACTTGAATGGGTGAACTCGACGGGGCGGATTTATATGACCCACACCATAGTCGGTGGACTATATCTGCTGAGGTTTGCAGTGGGAGCCACATTTACTGAAGATCGCCACGTGGTTCCCGCGTGGAAGTTGATAAAGGAAGGAGCCGATGCATTGCTCAAAGTCAAGGATTGATGCATGATTTCAACTGAATTTGATGTGAAGGGGCACTACACCGTTGGAGACTTGAGTATTGATAGTGTTGGATAAGCATTCATCCGTTAAGTAATAATCTATTGGACGCAATTTGGCTATTCGGTAAATTTGTGCATGTTATCTAGCATTGAATAAAAATGCATGTATGTTTCGTAACGATTTTATGTCATCTTCTTGTACATTTGCTGAAGACAACACTCGGTGGCTTATTATATAAATGATATTTTGCCAGTTGGATGTAAATAAGATGACATAATACAGTATATCTGACAGTTAGAGCTGGTCCCAAGCAGGCCCAGGCCTAAGCCCGTTTGGGACTGATCCCAAATGGAACCAGTCGCTCATGAGCAATATTAAGATTTGGACCGGTTCTATGGGCTTGAATAATTTTTTTTCCTTTGATCTTTTTTTTTTTTTATATTTTAGGAGCGAAATAAAATTTATAGGGGGTTTTTAGTTTTTTTAGGGGTAGATTAGTAAGTTTTTAAAAATTTAATTAATTTTAAAAAATAATGAATTAATTAATAGTTAATTTTAATTTTTAACATAAATTCACATTTCACACATTCACGCTTCACAAATAAACAATTAAATAATTTTTTTATTCAATTATTCATTTTCATCGTCAACAATATTTACATCATTCAAATCTGTATTCCTAAGGAGTTCGAGTAGTTCAGGATCTTCAGCGTGTTGTTGTAATCTTCTTTCTGTATGAGTCCAATCCCGTAAACACGTTATCACTTCAATCATCTCATCAGTTAAAGAACATCTGTTGTCTTTAACAATCCGACCACTCGTTGAAAATGTTGACTCGGATGCAATTGTAGAAACCAGCACAGATAAAATGTCACGTGCCATTTGGGCTACAATGGGGAATCGACTTTTATGTTGGTTCCACCATTAAAGAATATCCATACATGTCGCTTCTTCATCGTCATAAAGGACAAGTCCACTTGTAGGTAGCGATTCAACTCATTTGGTCTATGTATGTACGAGCTGGAGCTGCTACTTCCGCCACATTCCACATACGTCCACTTGCTCAATCCTTGACGGAGGGCTACATTAAGGTCCTGATCCTCTCTCCTGAATGTTCCACTTCCACTTCTACTTCCATTGTACCTGTTCTCATATAAAGAAAAAATGCTATCCAATTTTTGTTTAAAGTTAGTCAAATAAGATGTATAATCATGTCCTAAATGCTAGCCTAACTTAGTAATTATACAGTTAACTACGTATAATTTAAACTTAGGATCTAGAACAAGGTCTAATCCATATAAGAATGGAATATCTAACCAATATCTCTCATATTTTTTTTTTTCCATCTTTAAAACAATTTCCCTTAAAATGTTATTACATCTATGTTTAGCAAAAGTTTTAGCAATTTGAAGTAAAATATCTAGCACTAAATTAGTAGCCTGATAATAAATACCACTTAATGTATTAGGAGCATCATAAAAAATTTGAAGAAATGAATAAAAAATTTCACAAACCGCCCAATCATCATAGTTGACAACTTCCTCTAGATAGTGCTTCCGATTGATGAACTCTGTAATTTGTTTCGCGGTTGGCAAAGTTTTTTCCAACATCAAGTAGGTGGAGTTCCAACGGAAAGGCATGTCCGTACATAACTTCAAAGGTCGAACCGGTGGGTCCTCTTGCTTACAATATTTGACGTACTCCTGCTATCTTTCATTGCTACTGCCGATGATAAATCCAATAGTCGCGAGCACCCTCTCCATCTTCGAATGTATAACATCTAAACATGCTTTAACTATCAAATTAATAATGTGGCAAACACATCTCTGATGAAAAAATTTGCCTTCACCACGCGGATCCAATCTCTTTTCAAATAAAGAGATTGCCGCGGTGTTAGCAACTACATTATCAAGTGTTAGCGCTACAACTCTATCAGTTAATAAATATTCTTGCAAAACTTCAAGAATTGTAAAATAAATAGTTTCAGCATTATGTTTTTCATATAATGGTTCAAAACCCATTAATTTTTATTGTAAACCCCAATTATGATCTAAAAAATGTACTGTGACAGTTAAAAAATCGGTTTTTGATCTACAAGCCCATATGTCTGATGTAAGTGCAATAGATATATTCCTAAAATTTTGAAAAAAACTGTTATAATAAAAAGTATAACCATTGGTTGGCAGCCAACGGTTATTAGAGAAAAGTTAAATTTTTTTTATTATTTTATAAAATTTATAAAATTTTATTTTAACCCTTGTAATTTATGTTTATTTCAAAATATATAAGAGGTTTTATGTAATTGTACAAGGGACTAAACCGAAAATGTGCAAAAAAATTTGGGCCCAAGCCTGGGATCGGTCCCAGGCTCGGGCCTTGGAGGAGGGCACAGTGGAGGGACTGGGCCCTCTTCCTTAGGCATGGTCCTTGAGAGGATCGGGTTTTTGGGCTGGGTTTTTAGACCCAATCCCAAATGCCCACCTCTAATCTTACTCTCCAAAACTGAAAGTCTTGCCATTGGACCACAGCGATGGTCAGTTGTACTCTCTCTCTCTCTCTCTGTCTCTGTCTCTGTCTCTGTCTCTGTCTCTCTCTCTCTCTCTCTCTCTCTCTCTCTCTCTCTCTCTCTCTCTCTCTCTCTATATATATATATATATATATATATATATATTACAGTTGACCATCCTTGTGGTACAGTGGTACAGTGGCAATACAGTATATCTGACTCTCCAAAACTTTTTCTACAAAGTGAAAGTTTTGCCATTGTACCACAAGGATGGTCAGCTGTAATATATATATTGAATTGGATAGTTTTTGTGATAAAACCATGACTAATCGTAAGAATCATACATACAAACCCACATTCAGGAAAAAACCTTTTCAATAAAGCAAATTCTCTAAAACAGACAAACCCACAAAGCAATTTACGTGCTTTAGATGCGATAAACAGGGTCATATCGCTAGATATTGTAAAATTAGTGAAGGAATTAGAGAATTGAGCATTGATGATGAGATCATACATAAAATTGAAATGATAATGATACAGTCCTCTGATTCTGATTCAAGTGAAAAAGAAATGTCTGACGACAACCAAGTTGATGAAATCGAAACCTCCAATGAAAATGAAATAAATATCTTAACCAAAGACCAAAATTCCTCATAGAAGCCGTTAATAAAATTGATGATCCTCTTTTGAGAAAAAAGTATCTAGAGAGACTAAAAAATACATTCAAAAAAACTGATAGAAAAATAGAAACCCATAAGGCTTATAGTTTTCAAAATATTATTTACAAATTCGAAAAACAAGAAAAAAGGAAATTAACACTTGAAGATTTAACAAAAGAAATCCAACACCTAAAAATTGAAGTTAAAGATTTATAAGAACAACAAAAACAACATTCGAAATTACTTGTTGCCAAAGAAAAAGATAAATCTGAAGAATCTAAGGATGATGAAGATCATAATGCAGATTTCATAAATATGCTAACCCAAATAACTTATAAAAAATGGCATATTAAGATAAAACTCTAATCCATGATGAATTTATCCTAGAAACAATTGCTCTATTTGATACTGGAGTAGACTTCAATTATATCCAAGAAGGAGTAGTTCATACAAAATACTATGAAAAAACACTAGAATCTGCTAAGTTAGCCAATGGCTCAACACTTTTTATCAATTACAAATTATCATATGTTAAAGTTTGTAATCAAAATATTTGTTTAAACACCTCCTTTTTATTAGTAAAAAATTTGAGAAGAAGTATAATATTATGAGCACCCTTCATTAATTTAATACAACCATTTAGTGTTGATGATTTGGGGATATTCACAAAAATAATGGGTGAAGTTCTTATCTTCAAATTTATATACAAACCCATCCAAAAAAACCTTAATATTCTCCAAGAATACTCAACGTCAAAAAAAGAAATTAATCACCTTCTCCTACATAAACAAAAACATATATATGTCCTCCAAGAAGAAGTTAAAACTAAAAGAATCGAATCCCAACTTCAACAAAATGATATCCGCACAAAGACAAAACAAATACAAAAAACTATTGAAACTCAAATTTGCTCTGACCTACCTAATGCTTTTTGTGATAGAAAACACATATGGTTAGTCTGCCTTATGAAAAAGATTTTGATGAAAAAGAAATACTTAAAAAAGCCAAACCAATACAAATGCATAAAGAATTAGAAGAACATTGTAAAAAGGAAATCAATGATCTTTTACAGAAAAAATTAATTAGCAAAAGCAAGTCTCTTTGGAGTTGCTCGGCCTTCTATGTTCAAAAAAATGCTGAACTTGAAAGAGGAGTTCCAAGACTTGTCATAAATTATAAACCTCTAAATACAGGCTTAAGATGGATAAGATACCCAATCCCAAACCAAAAAAGATTTATTACAAAAACTATCCAATTCAAGAATCTTTTTCAAATTCGACATGAAATCTGGATTTTGGCATATCCAAATCAAACCAGAAGATAGGTATAAAACCGCATTTACTGTAACATTTGGTCAATATGAATGGAATGTAATACCCTTTGGGTGAAAAAATGCCCCATCAGAATTACAAAGAATAATGAATGATATATTCAATCCATACTCTCAATTCCTTATTGTCTATTTTGATGATGTTCTTATATTTTTATCTAGTATAGATCAACACTTTAAACATTTAAAAACATTTATTCATATTGTCAAAACAAATGGTTTAGTTGTTTCAAACGCAAAAATAAACATTTTCCAGACAAGGATCCAATTTTTAAGACAAAGAATCTACAATGGTACAATTATACCTATTCAAAGATCCATTGAATTTGGTAAAAAATTCCCTGATGTCATCACTGATAAAACCCAGTTACAAAGATTCTTAGGAAGTCTTAATTATGTAATGGATTTTTATCCTAAACTTGGTCAAATTTGCAAACCTTTATATAAAAGGTTGAAGAAGAATCCAACACCGTGGACAAGCCAACACACTAATACAATCCGACAGATTAAAGCCCAAATCACCCATTTACCATGTTTGCATTTAGCAGACCCATTAGCCTTCAAAATAGTTGAAACATATGCCTCAGATTTAGGATATGGAGGTATTCTCAAACAAGTACAAGATAACGAAGAACAAGTTATTTAATTTACTTCCAAATTTTGGAATGAAACTCAACAAAAATACTCAACTATCAAAAAAGAGATTTTATTCATTGTCCTATGCATTTCCAAATTTCAAAGTGATTTTACTCAATCAAAAATTTTTATTTCGTATTGATTATCAAATTGCTAAACATGCTTTACAAAAAGGATGTTCAAAATATTTCATCAAAACAAATTTTTGCAAGATGGCAGCAATTTTTATGTGTGTTTGATTTTAACATTGAATACATCAAAGGAGAAGCTAATTCCCTGCCTGACTTCCGCACCAGGGAATTACTTCAAGGGAGATAACCATCATGCCTCCCAAAAAGACCAACCCTCCAATCACTCAAAAACAATCAAAGGTTTCTTATGCCCAAAAGCTCACAAACACCAAATCATGGTATGAACTCGTATGTGAAGAAGAAGCCTAAGAAAAAGCCCAACAATCAAAAGAAAAAGGCATAGCCTCAACAAACTCTTCTCAGAGCCCAACAAATACAGAGCAAATCCAAAATTGGATAAGCTCTTTTCAGCAAAGTCCAGAAGTAGCCTTAGCTATGATTGGGTTAACACCAAATTTACCAAAAAATGAAATTTTGAAATTTAAAGAACCTCAAACTCTTCCAAAAAGTTACCAAGAATTTTCCAAATGTGAAAAAATTTCACTAAGCAAATTACAAAAGGCAGCTCAAATTGGTCTTTCAAAAAACAAAGAACTTGTTCCTGCGGCTACACCATTAAAAGCCTTTAAACCAGGATAAAAATATATTCAAAAAGGAATTGCAACTAATCTTTTGATTTTCGAAGAAGGATATGATTTTGAAAACCATAAACAATTAGTTCAACAAATTTTTCCAAAAAAATTTCATTAAAAGCTCTTAAACCAGGACAAAAATATATTCAAAAAGGAATTGCAACTAATCTTTTAGTTTTCGAAGAAGAATATGATTTTGAAAACCCTAAACAATTAGTTCAACAAATTTTTCTAAAAAATTTTCATTTTATCCCTGAAGATTTAAGGAAAACTAAAATTTTTTATGAATTCCTTCTTGTTGATTCTGACTCTTGTGAGTTTAAATACTATGAGGATAAAAACTAACCAGGATTTATCACTAATTCAACCTTTCATATCATGAAAATCCTTAGTCCTTTTGATTGGGGATCCAACCCAAACCAATTCAAAAAAAATTTCCAAAATTTTGATTAATTCCCGAAATCCTACCCCCAACTGTCCGTGAAGGATTCAATGAGTTAAAGCTCAAGTTCAAAGTTTCTGAAGCAGATTCAAACTTCCTTCCATAACTTCATTTCTCAGCAAAGTTCCACCTCTCGTGGATTTTACAATGGGAATATGAAATTGTCCAAAATATTAGCAATCTCCCTAATTTGATCCGGAAATTTAAAGTCAAGTGGTGGGATAAATTTGATGCATCCCATGTGTCCAAAGAAAAAATTCAACTTTGTCTCTCAAGTTCACCTCATCAAACTCAGGCAATTACCCCTGAAATTGCCAATTTTTTACGAAAAAAGATTGTGGCATCAGTATCCTTAGCAGAAGCCAAGACAAAACAAGAACTTAAAGACCACCTCAAGACTATTCTTTCACAACTCCAAGATGAAGAAGAAGAAGCAGAAGAAGAAGATGGAGAAGAATCTTATCGAAGTTCTAGTGCCTTGGTCAATCTCGCCCAAAGCAATGAAGATGACTATTATGGAATCATCTAAGTTATTCCAAAAAGTTCGAAATTACCGCTTCTCTCAAAAAGAAAACTAGCCAAAGAACCGACATCAGATTCAGAGAATATATAGCATAATATTGAAGAGTCTGAGATTCCCTGCAAAAAGAGACATTTAATGCTCTTTATAAAAAATTAAAATATTCACTCAATAGTATTCATGTGATATTATAGTGAAATCAGATTTCTATAAATTGGGAGGGCTCGTGCAATGTGAACCAAGCTTTACAAAGCCAATTTTAAAATTTTCTCTTTCACTCTCTTTTGATGTAAACCTCTCAAAGCTCTCCAAAAAGAAAACTTTTATTGTAAGTTCAATTTCCTTTAATCTTTCAATAATCATTCAATGTTTAATCTTTCAATAATCATTCAATGTTTAATCTTTCAAGTTCTTTAATTAATTTCTTCATCATTTATCATGTTTGGTTTTAATGTTTATTTAAGTTTTTATTTGTGTTCTTTGTTTCTTTAAATTTTTGTTCATCACTTAATTTGGTTCCAGTGCGGCACTGCCGCCGTTACCTAGTTTAATAATCATTCATCATGTTTGGTTTTAATGTTTATTTAAGTTTTTATTTGTGTTCTTTGTTTCTTTAAATTTTTGTTCATCACTTAATTTGGTTCATGTGTAGCACTGCCGCCGTTACCTGGTTGAAGAATTAATCTCACTTGTTAATATGATTTCAGTGCGGCTCTGCCGCCGTTGTCTTATTAAGTTGTAAGATTATTTAAGTTTATTTTTATTTAAATTTTAAGTTTATTTAATATTTATTTAATCTCTGCATATCTCCTCTTTGTGTGTAACGATCCTGTGTTCCCTCTAGTGTGTGTGTGTGTCTATATATATATATATTATGGTAATCGGAATGTCCAGACCAATTTATGTATACCTCAACTTATCTTGGGGATCTATTGAACACCCTACAAACTCAAATATTCAAGTAAGCTATAATATTATTATAGTAGGTACCCCTAAGGTTTGAACTCAAGAATTCAAGGAATAAAACAAACCTCCTTAACCGTCGGACCAATCATTTGGGGTTGAGTTGTACTATAGTACACCCAATTTCTGGATGAAAGCCCAACATGACATATTCATCTATAATCTTCTTTTAAATTGACTTTGAGATCTATATTGATAAATATTAATTATTCACATATGTTATAATTAATTTGGATAAAGAAATTTTTGGTATGAAAATTTTGACAAGCAAATAAACAAATAAGCACTCAACGGGCTACTTAATAGGATACAAAGAATGGATAATAGAAATTGTTAATATTACCAAGATTACAAGTGGCAGGAATATGATTACAATCAGGTACCTTGCAGTATATGTTTATAAGCTCCATTTCAGAAAACCACAACTCTATGATTACAGGATGTTTATGCCATGTTGCGAAACAAATTGATCCACTAGATGGAATGAAAAGCTCTGGAAGAAGTTTATGCCCACCATGGTGCTTCACCAGTTCTGAAATCTGTCTCAGTCCATGGAACAAACACTACCTTGCCATCTGCCACATCCACATTGGCATGAGCCAATGCCAAGGACTGTGGCAAAAAGTAGAATTTAAGTTTGTTATAATCAATTATGAAACAGAAAATGATTAAAGAAAAGTTGTACTGAGATCCATGAAAATGAGCATAAGGAGCATAGATATGATTTGCTTACCAATGGAGCAGGTCCTCTCACAACTCTTCCTTGGTCATTGTACTGAGAGCCATGGCAAGGACAGATAAACTTGTTCTCAGCTTGATTCCATGGCACGACACACCCAAGGTGAGTGCACACTGCATTTATTCCATATGATGCAAGTGTTCTGTCTTTCTCCACAACAAGGTAAGTTGGATCTCCCTGAAGTACACAATAAATTTCAATCAGATTTCAAAGTACTCATAGCTTCACCATCTCCCTATAATACAACATCAAGTTACAAGTATATGCTCGTTCAATTTCCTCTCTTTCCTCCCATTCATACTCACCCAGGGCGCTCCTCGCCATTGGAGACAAATCTAAAACTATATAGATGGAAATGACTGGTACAACAGGACAAGTTTCAAACCAGGGAACTCAAGCTTTGCGAATGAACACTCCAGGACAAGATATAGAAATTCCCAAACATTACCGTTTATTATTTTTCATTTTTACAAGAAGAGGCGGGGTTCACTGAATGATCAAGGTAAAGGTTATTTATTTGATACGTGCATGCAAAGAAAAAGGAATAATTTTCAAATTGCAAATTATTAGTGGTTTTGATGGTTAAAACAACAATAACCAAAAAAGCCTTAAATTGGTGTCTAGATAGCTCATCAGATTATCCTTATAAAAACATTATAGAGCAAAATTTCACAATCTATGTTTTGCCGCAAATACATTGAGAATTATTGAGGGGAAACGACAAAGAAAGCCTTTGTACCTTCAATCCTTGTGTAAGGGTTCGGTCACCAGGGCCATGGTTCTCAAGCCATTCAGAAGCAATGACATCATTGCCTATGGCATCTTTGGCAGTGGTACCGCCACCGGCACCTCCTAATCTGTCATCATACCGACAAAAGTTAATAAAATTACAAAATAGGCAGAACTACCACAGATTTTCTTCGCATTTATGGAACAACGAATCCGTTTAACCAAGAAACGATAAATTTCCACGCAATCATAGCTGTCTTATTTCAGAACAACAATTCTTGATTAAATTTAGTTGTAGTGTAGGTCAACGAGAAAGGCTTCCTTTTTTCCATGTTCATAAAAAATCCTGGTGAAAAACATCATATTCATACTTATGGTTGAGTTACACTTGCATAATTAAAATTTGAATAGAAGTAAGCAGAAAGTATTTTACTAAATATCTGTGAAGTCTGAACAGTATGAAGCTGCTTCTTATTTGGTTAATTCTATGATGTAACTTAAAACAATAATCATTTCAGCAAATAACCAAAAATCTGTATGATGCATACTGAGTAATATAGAAAACATGACAAAAAAAACGTTTTACTCACCCAGGTGGGGCAAAGAAGGTGGCATAAGGAACCAGCATAAATCCAGTGGGAAGTGAAAGGGCACCCACCAGAAGCAAATTCATAAGCTGCCTCTTGCTCATATCTGGCACTCTATCAGCCGGAATACTAGTAGCCTGGCACTTGATTTTGATTCCTCTGTCCTTTGTAATCATATGGGTCCTGGTTGGCTTCCCAAGAAGAGCTCTTGATGGAGAAAACATACCACTCTTGCTTGAGCATAGCTATATAGAGAAACTTAGCAAAGTGAGATTTCATAATGACATGCACATTGTTTATTTATAATTCAAAAGAATTAGTTTTTTCTTCCTTTTTTTTTTTATATTTAAGAATACCTGAGAAGGAGTTGCAGGAGAAAGAGTGGAGGAAGCCATAGTTGAGATTGGAGTAATGGTGTAGAAGAGACTGAGCAGTATCTTGGTTTTTGTAATTGAGTTGATATTATGGAGATCGGAAGTAACGACGACCACAATAACAGTTAAAGTGGATAAGGCAGCAATATGATGCCACATATTTAGAGATGATGCTTTTTATCTCTCCTACACTAGTTGCTCATCCCCAATTTTGGGCCTTACTGCCGATTCAGCCTTTTGAAAAAAGGCCTCGTAGATGTTGAATGACTGGCCATAGTGAAAATCGAGAGACGGGATTCTAAGAGGCCCGGGGTCTAATGGAGAACGAAAACAACGTTGTTTTTTCAAGATGATATTTCATACGCTATGGTATAAGTTAAAGAAAGCTACTGCAGACCATTTTTTTTTTTTTTTTTTTTAAATTTATTTTACACTACACTTATTAGTTTTGGTATACAAATTGACGTGGGATTTCCTTTTTATATCATATGATTTAATTTTTTCACTATTTGATCATTATGTAGTACATTGTCTTGTTTACAGAATTTATAATCGTAATATTGGTCCTACCCCCTTTTTCTTTATTAATTACCCTTTGACATGCATAAAATAAACAAGTTGTTAAGTTAATAATATTTGCTGCATTTATTTCACTGTTTTTCCACCATCCTATCCTAAAAACTCAAAAATGCATTTGTTTCAGTATTCTCAACATTCAATTTTACTTTATCCAACTCAAAACATTAACAATTACCTTTCTTGTAAAAATAATTCAATTCAACTTAGCTTTACTTTTTCTAAAATACTATTATGAAAAGTATCATAATAGTAAACCAAATGGAGTCATAATTTTCGTTTGTATTTTATAAATGTGTCAATAATAGAACGAGGGAATGAAAATAGCACTTTTTGTGAAAGAAATTGACTCTAACAATATTAAAAAAAAAATTGTAAGTTGATGCTATATTTTTTATACGCATGTCAGAGAGTAAAGGTGAGAAATGAGAAAGTGAGTATAGTTAACACATTCAATAACAAGCTTTGTAGAGTAGAGCCCATGGGTCAAACTGTCTATACTTTATATTGGGCTAGCTGCTTGACTGCTAAGAAAAACTAGAATCTGGGCCATTGTAAGATATCTAATTTGATTTTAAGATCTTTATAGGTGTGGGAATAATGGGTAGTGAGAAATAATAATAATGATGTAGGTTTTGGGATTTTGTCCAAAGTGGAGAAAGAGAAAGGAAAAGGCCCACTGGGTTTGTCTACATTCTATGATATATAATGATGGTGTTATCTGCATGGGTGTTATGGCGTGAAATATCCACTCATCATATCACCTGCATTTCTCTCCCCCTTTGTCTCTCTATTTTATCATTCCAAGCGTGCTCATCATCCCATCCCCAATCTCTCCCCTTTTCCTTTATATATTAATTCACTATGGGATTGATTATATTTATATGGAAATGGAAATGGAAATGGAAATGGAAATGGAAATCATTCATAATTATCAACTATGTTTTCACCCTTTATTCAACCTTCTCAATTCACATATGTCTTACCACACCTAATTTTAAATTACTACAGTACCCCACATTTTATATCATCATGCGGCTGTTAGTCTTATATGTTAATGTTACTATTGTCCACGTTCTTTGCAAAAGTATCCCAGATGCAAATGTATATATAAATAATTATAGAGATAAAAAAAAAAAAAAAAGTAAAAGGAGAGGTGTAGTTGTGGGTATCTTTGGTTTCTTTAGGCTTTCTCTTGCACCAATGCGTAGAAAGAGAGAGAATCTATATTATCATCGTCAAAGAAGAAGACACCCAACAACAAAAGTGATAAGGTAAAATATAAATGATATACTGATTACATATATTCATAGATAAATGAATAAAGAAGAGAGAGCTACAGGATGGAATGAAGCAAGCTTGAAGCAAAGCCCCAAAAGAAAAAAATGGAACGTTCTTCAAAGGCATTTCGAGATGATGGAAACTTAAAGCTGTTTAGCTTTTTGTGATATCAATAACTAAGCTTTTTGTCTCCCCAACTCAGTTCTTAACTATATTATAATTCCTTATATTCAATTACTGAAATCACACTCTAATTTAATTTACTCACTTACTTGTAGAATCCTATGGAACAACCATTTAACTAATGATTTTCATGCATGCGCAAACCTTGCATTGCTTTCGTCTTCTACATGCCTCTCTCTTTGCATTCTGAGAAATTACTGATGAATGAAAAGAAATATGCAAGATGAATTTGATAATTTTAGATACGGTGATTGGCGATGATAGATTTTTGACAAATCACCGAAGATGTTACGGCTATTAATCATGTAAATTATGATGTCAAGGTTGATGTTGTTGCTCTTGTCGGCAAAATTATAATGTCACAAATAATAACATAAAGGGATTTTATACGGCAAAATAATGATATCTCCTCTAATTAATAACGCTCTGTTAATAAAAGAAGATGGAAAAGTAAGAAGCTCCTCGTGGGTTTCAAGCACAAAAGGCACAGGTCAAATTGTTAAATTGATTGGTGAATAATTTCAAAAGTAGGTGCATTGAAGAATTATGTCGGGGCCCTTTTTTTTTATTATTCACTTAAAAATGACCACACATATGATTGTTTGGTTTATAAAGTGAGAAAATGCTTGTGTGTTCCCACCAGCTTTACCTTCACAGATTAATCCAAACTGTTGAGCGAAAGTGATCGAAATTCGGGGTGTTACTAAAGGACAAAACAGATAGATAAGGCTTCTACATAGAAAGTTGTACAATATATCTGTCATACTAATTAGCACAATTAGTCTTTTAAATTGCCTGCCCATTGTATTTTAGGATGAATGTCCATGATATGATCATTCATAAAATTGGCATTGAAATTTGCAGGAATATATCCATAAAAGTGTAAATGATATCCCTTGGAAAATTAGGGTGAACCGTTCAAAACTGGTCCCGTATATATCTTATATGATCAGGATAACATGAAATTGGGGAAAAATTTTGCCCTCAGCTGGAAGAAACAGTGTTCTCACTTAATTCCAATCTTTAATTAATAGCTGCTACTAGGTAGTCTGCTACATCAATGGCAATTGTGTCAGGCCCACACACAGCTTAACCCTGAGAAATTAACACAAAGTTTGATATTAATCCTATAACATATTAGTTTACCTGCAAGTCTATCAGTAGTTTAAATTAAGTCGCGGATCAACGACAAATTGACTCTACTTTGGAGGAAAAGTCTTGAATTATTTGAAATAATATTAAACTTTTACAACTTGATCAGTTAACTTGGGTAAGTTCAATTGATTACAATTTCTTCATTGACTTCGATTATAATTAAACATATTAAAGAATTGCGGTCCTATAAATACTTAGTTTTTAATCCTACGAGTTATGACGCCAAACTAATTAATGTAGTGAAGAGTTCACATGCTTATAACTGCAGAAGTTTTGTCTTATTAATAGTCTCTTCCATTTGTAAGGAGAGAGCTAGCCAGTCTTTCTCATTGAATACAAGGGACATGAACACAAGCTGTCAACCTGCAACCACATAAAAAATTAATGCAGAATTGTAATATCAGCAAGCTTTAATTGCGATTTGCGTATAAGATGATTTAGAAATGCATAGTGGGAGTGGGGTGTTGAAGACTTTCACTTGTAGTAGTTACATGGTTTGGTGTGAAGAAGGCTACAATTCAAACTTGTCATTGTCCTTGAATTTGTCGAATAATGTTTATATGGTTTAAGAACCGAGGCCCACTTGGTCTCTTTGTATTTGATTTTTGTGAGATGTGAAGAGGGTGACCATACTCAATTAATTTGAATCAACAAAATTACTTCTTGACTTAATTGTGCTAGCTTGGTTATCTCTTAATTAATTAATTTGATTTGATTCTTTCTTTTTTTCGATGAGTTTATATCTCATTCCCATATATGTCAATTTTTTTTTTTTTTTTTAACATAAGATGTCCTAATTTTATTGTACTTTTTCTACACATTTATTTCCATATATCTTGAAGCAATTAAAACTTGTACAATTGATGGCAAAATTTGAATAGGGTTGGGATATTTATTAAATGCAATCTGGTTACAGAATTTTCTCTCCTTCTAGGATAAGGATAAATTTCGGATATGGGTAAATATTTGTAAATTATACATAACAAGGAAGCTTGAAAATCTTTACATTAATAATTTCAAAACAGGTATTACTGAACTAGTGTTCATAATTATCTTTTTTCTTCTCCTCAAAAGTTAAATGTTCACACATTCCCCTAATATTGTGAAATTGATATTATTGGATAGTGGGGTAGATATGGCCTAAAGACTTGGAAAAAATGGCTAATTTCTACATATAGATGAATTTTCAGTTGGGTCATAAAGTGCTTGTAAAGACAATATATCATCATGTAATATATTTTCTTAAGATTTTATTTAAGTAATTATACGGATAAAATGTTCCCTACCCATTCTCCCTGACGTCTAAATTATCTCAATATTCGCTCTTTATTTCACAGAAAGAATGGTTAAGTTATAATATTCAAACGCCTAAAAAATGTTTAACATGCGAAAGAGAGATTTATTTGATTATTTCAACCTGCACTAGCAAAAAAGATGGCCACGTGTCACAGAAATACGTTAAGAATAAGATAAGCCCATGTCAGAACAACCTTATGACTATTAGCTATTATTATATTACCATGCCTTATTCTAATTCAGTTACAAATAATAAAAATCTATCAAGAAACAGGCACATAAATTCTTAAAATTCTCAAGGTAACACGTTGCAAAATCTTATTTGCTTGACTGAACAAAGTCTTAACAGTTGAAAACTAAAGTGTGGTCTTGTTGATCTTCAAACCAATCTGCTTCTGACAAAGCTTGAACCTCACAGCAAAAATGGCTCTATCTGATCCCAGCTCCCAGGTTTTCCTTCCCAATAAAAGAGAGGCAGTTTAGCATATGTCAATGCAAAGCATTTCTGAAAGAATTAAGAAACGCACAGCTAGCCATCTTCATTTGCCAAGGAGTGAAGTTCAAGTCTCCACCACACCACACAACACCATCTTTTAATAAAGATATCATATCATTACTCTTTAACACTCTCTCTGTCTACTACTACTAGTACTAGCAACCAATTTTTTCACTCCTTCATTTGACTTTTAACTAATGCATGTGTATGCTCTTCTACTCATCAACTGATCTTTTACTCACTCACTCAATGGAGTTCAATCTTGAATACCCTTTTACAAATTTCCAAGACCTTGTCCTTGATGATGATACAGAAACCTTACCATCTCTCTTCCTCGTTGAATCTGATCACATGCCTTCAGAGGACTATCTGAAGTCTCTCAAGAGCAGTTCTTCTGATTTCTCTGTTAGGCAACACACTATCTCTTATATCTTCCAGGTACTTAACTGTAAATTTCTAAGCATTTCCTTTTCGTCGCTCAGTTCTGATTTCTTTATTTTTTTTTTTTTTTTTTTTTCAGTTTTCCTGTGACTTTGATCCGTTATTATCATATCTTGCTTCCAATTACATGGATCGTTTTTTATCAACCCAAGCATTGCCGGTAAGAAGTCCTGGTGACTCTTGATTATCTTTTTTGTTATGTTTCTTAATTGGTGGTTGTTTTGAGATCTGACTGAATCTTGATAATGTAGCAACCAAAGCCTTGGATGCTTAGGCTTCTTGCAATCTCTTGCATATCTCTGGCGGCAAAGATGAGGAAAATAGAGTTCACTCTCACTGATTTTAAGGTAAAGTTTCATGTTTCTTTCATACATTAGCTTATAGTAATTCTACAAAATCCATAGAATACTTTTGCTGAAGAATTTTATGTACAGGAGGATGGAGGACTAATATTTGACACACAAACTATAGAGCGAATGGAGTATCTCGTCTTGGGAGCTCTGAAATGGAGAATGCGTTCAATTACTCCCTTTTCTTTCCTCTCCTTTTTCATTCCTCTGTTCAAGCTCAAAGACCCTCCATTAAAACAAGCTCTTAAAGCTCGGGCAATTGAAATCATTTTCAAAGCTCAAAGTGGTAATATTTCGATACCCAGAAAAAACTCGCAACTACGATTTGTTTACACCATATCTATCTCAATTCTAAGTCTTTTATTACATTGATAATATCGTTACGCAGATATCGAGATTTTAGAGTTCAAGCCATCAATTATCGCTGCAGCGGCTCTTCTCTCTGCCTCTCTTGAACTATTTCCTTTGCAATTCTCTTGCTTTAGAAAGGCAATTTCCAACTGTTCATATGTAAATAAGGTAAATCTTTATTAATTCTCCTTCTGTTTCTGTTCCTTTCCCCAAGTTATTATTAATTATGATGGTTACAATGGTTCACATTCTGAAAGCTAGCGTCTTTTGACTTCTAAAGACTAAAGCTTTGTATTTTCCCCATATCAGAGACCAATAAAAACCCATACATTTTTTAGTATGTTATTATTATGACTGATCGAGAGGTAATGTAATATGTTATCTTGACTTGGTTAATTAGCTTTATCGTGCTTCAAAGTAAAAAAGTTGAATATTTAATGGTAATATTGTTGCAGGAAAAGATGTTGGAGTGCTACAATTGCATAGAAGACATAATGATGGATGGATACGAGTCAGGATTTGAAACGGTGTCCAGCTCAGACACGCCAGTCAATGTACTTGACCGGCGATTTTCAAGCTCAGAAAGTGATAAGACCCTTGGCTCCACCACCACCACCACCACAGCCCCCAATACTCAGCATAGCCTAGAGAGAGATGCCAAGAGGAGAAAAATGAATGGTTTCTGTGACAATCACCAGCTTTCCCAGGCCCAACAGCACACCGCTAATGCAACTGGTTTCTATAGTTAATCAATCGCCTGGTCCTTTTGAGAGTGACCCTAGCTAGCTACCTAGCAGCAGGCAGCTGCCTAGCAGCAGGCAGCTGCTTCAAATAAACAAGTAGAATTATTATTTTTAAAAAAAAAAAGGGATAAAAAAGAATGGGCAAGAAGTTGATGTTTCATGGACAAAATCAATGCCACAGGATCTCAGTACGACACATTTGCTGTGTTAGCTAAAAGAAAATCAATGAAGGCTAGAAGAAAGAGAATAGAATTTTTGTTTCCTTCTGTTTCTAAGAAGCTAGCGCGTAGCAGGCAGCAGCAAACAAAGACAAAACATTACTTTGAATTGTAGGGGTTCAATTTGTGTTTCTGTTTTGGTTTTAGCGCGGTTATGTCTCTTAGTTTCTGGCAGAAGAATAATAAGACAGTGATAATAACAATAATAAAACAATAATTTTCTCGGAAGATCAAATTAATATTTTTATATTTTTTTTTATTAATGTTAATTCATGATCCTTTTACTTTAACTGTAAGAATAGTCAGCGTGGGAAAGCTGTACTGTGTCTGTGTTTGTGTCCCAGGATTTGCATTGAACATGTTGGGGCTAAAACGATTGTCAATAAATTGTATAGCTCCAAAAGCTTAATTTATTATTAAATTATCAAGATCTTAGGGACTATTTTAATGAATAGAGATGATTTATGGTCCCCAGTAATAAGATTTCCCTATCTATTATAGCTGGACGCCTGGACCACTTCATCAATGCATCAATTCCTATATAAAACAAGAAAAAACTTCAGGGTTTTCTTTTTTAATTATTATATTTAAAGTAATTTCATGTTTTATAAAGAAAGCCAGAGAGTTACACCACTCTACATCCATGATGCAACAAAATTATTACTGAAATTAAAGCTTTGTGTTAGCTAATATTTGGGGTAATAACAAGCGGATGCAAGCTTAGTAATATTGTATTGCTAAAACCCTAGTTAGTAAATACGGGTACAGCAAAAAAAGGGTACAAAAATTATACGGATATAATACGACAAATGGTGAAAAATACGTTTATAAAAATTCGGCCATAAAATTCGGATACGAAAAAAATACGGTACAGGTATATACAGGTTTAATACGGTGTATTGTCAATAATACGTTTTGAAAAATATGGCAATATCAATCTTAGTTTTAACAATTTTATGGACTACCTGGTTAAAAGCAAAGTATTCAATTAATCAATAACACAAATACACAATATATAACTGATATTCAAATTATAGTCTCCAGACTCGAACACAATATTTAGTCAAGATTCAATTATAGTGTCAAATTAAACACATAATTCATAACAAAATCAAAATTCAAAGTCGAATAAGAGCTCCAAACAAATAAAATTTTGTTATAAAGAAGAGTTTAATGATCAAAACTCCATTACAAGTAAGGGCAAAATGATCAATTAACATTATACATAAAATTTAATATTCTCCCTAAATCAAAATTTAATATTCAAAGTTCTTAGCCTCGTCCCTCTTGTTCACCCTATAACCCTTAAAAACACCTAATATCCTCCCTAATCTTTATGATTCTAAAACGCTTTAACTCAAAAATTAACCAGAAACATAAAAAAATAAAAATTCAAACAAACAAATCGTCGGCCAGGTTGCGACTGGTGGCAACACCCCTGACCGCCGAACAGCCAGTCCACCACTGAGCTTGAGCTGAGGAAGAAGAACTGTTGACTGCCGAAGAACTGAAGAAGAATGACTGGACGAGATTTGTTTTAATTTTTTGTAAAACCCACCAAAACGACGTCGTTTTGGGGGTGTGAGATTTTTTTTTTTTTTTTTCAAAAATTCGCAAATAATTCGCGAATTATACGGGAAACCTTATTATACGCGAATTATACGGCAGATTTTATAAAATACGTATATGCGTGTTTTATACGCGAATTATACGGATGTCCGTACAATTCGCGTATAATACGCGTTTTTACTAACTAGGGCTAAAACTCAAAAAAACTTTTACCTTATGTTGGTACTTGATTTTGATACCAACGACTCGCACGTATAAAGTGTTAAATTGTTCTTATAAATTACATGTGAATGATTCATGAGAAGTGTTTATGGCGCTGAGATGATATATATTTAATAAAACATAAATAAAAGATGGACAAGAGGGATTTTTATAGTGGTTCAGATGCTTAAAGCGAATCCTACATTCACTGCTATTTTATTATTCTCTGACTATTTTTATGATATTGCCTGTAAGGTGTACAAAAATTGAGAAATGCTTTGTTTTACAGAGAAAAAAATAATGAAACTCAAATTTATGTCCATCTCTCATATGTCAAACCTCTCATTTTCACGAATAGAGGTGCTCATTTATACCTTTGAGGTCAATGTAATGAGTGTTTTTATAAATTGTTTTGACACGAGGACTAGAGGTGGGCAGGGACCGGTCCCAAGCAGGCCTAGGCCTGGGACCAGTCACTCCGGTCCCAGGCCCATGAGAAAAATTAGGACCCGGACCAAGCCTTAGGCCTAGTAGGGACTGGTCCTATGGGCCCAGGACCGATCCTAGGACCAGTCCCATGGGGCTTGGATAATTAAGTTTTTCCCCCTCAATTTTTTTTATATTTTGGGGGCAAAAAAAAAATTTATGGGGGGTTTTTAGTATTTTTTAGGGGTAAAATTTATAAATTTTATAAAATTTTTAGACCTGGAAGATTTTTTTTTTATAAATTTTGTAAAATTTTATGTTAGCCCTCTTAATTTATATTTATTTTCAAATTAACAGGAGGTTTTATGTAATTTGGCAGGGGACTATATTTAAAAAATACAATTTTTTTTGGGCCCAAACCTGGGACCGGTCCCAGGCCCGGGCCTTGGAGGAGGGCCCAGTGAGGGCCCAGCCCCTCCTCCTTAGGCTTGGTCCCGTTTTGGGATCAGGCCTCTTAGGTCTGATCCTCTCGAGGACTGGTTCTAGGACCGGGTTTTCGAGCTGGGCTTTTGAGCCCGGTCTCAAATGCCAAACTCTAACGAGGACCACTCCTTAATCCTTATCTTAAAATGAGATAGGACTGATATAAAATATATTTTAAAGTCGATTTGAGTTTTTGATAGATAATACCACATTATTTTTAAGATAGTGTTGACATCAGTGTGTTTTTTTTTTTTGGCACAACACCTTATTTATTATTGGTATATGATTTTAACTATATCAAAAAATTTATCCAACTCTCACCAAAAATAGTGTTAATTAAATTAAGGTGCTCATGAATTAATAATATTAATTAAAAAAAGAAAGCCTCTAAAGTCAATACACCATACATCATTTTTTAATAGCCTAAGAAAAAAAACAATGATTTCAGACTGATTTACCTGCTGGGGTTGGAATTACATTGTTGACGACGTCTGGTTCTTCTTCCTATTTAATTATAATTGTCTTTTTGTTCTCCGTAAATACTGTTGTATAATTTGACATGCTTACTCGTAGAAGGTAGCCTTAGACTTTAGAGAGATCTACGATTGATGTTCAAACTTACCTAACAATATATATCTGTATTGTTTACATGTGACTATTATTCAAATTTACAAGTAAGATATAGTCTTTGACACATTTTACTTTTGGCGCGTTGGGTATACCGTATACAGATGCATTTAATTTATAATTGATGTGACAATGCAGATATTAAAGAATGACCTTTACAGGTATAAATAAATTAGTGTTCTTTCAAGGCCTTATAAATTAACAATTTGATATTATTATTATTAATTATTATTTTTTTTTTTTTTTAATAAGCGACGAAGATTTTTTCTTAGGATAATGATTCCCTTCCTGTACAAACATTGAAATTGACCGTTGATAAAAATGAATTTAATACGCAATTGAAGGTATTCCTTTGTACACATGAATAATTAAGGATAAGCTTATCAAATCTTGTGTCTTATGTTACAACTCATCACATCAACATAAAATTTTCTGTTTAATGAATAAGTTTGCGGTAGTTCCAATATAGTATTAAAAATTGGCGTCTTCTTATAGAATTAATTTTTCATATACAAATATAAAATTGACTCGAAAAAAAGTGGGTATAAATCTGGTCTACGAATTAGGTCTGTGTACCGAATTACCTGCTGCGTCCTTGCCTCCTTGGGTCCATGAGGACCATGACAGAGTAATTTGATAATGTTCAGAAGAGTCAACATTTTCAATGTAAGTCTTCTTCGTACCATATATCTAGCTAACCATATCGGCCTATTTGTGCTTCATATTTCGATATTTGCAGTTACCACCTAAATATCTTACGGATTCTGAACATGGTCGTGCTTCATCCTATGTCGTTCAATTGCATCGACATAATTTTAAATATATATGTTCATTTTGACATGCATTTCGAGAGTGTATGGACTTATTGTGCATGAATTGCAATATTGGGAACCTCTAGTTACCATATAAATTTCTCAATTGATAATTCTCAATCTCATCAGAGTTTCATTGCCTCATTTGTTTTCTTTTAGGTAAAAATTAACTTATTTACAGAATCTAAAACAAGACGACGTTGATGAAAATATAAATATTAACCTTAAGGGATTGGTGGTTAAAAATGTTTGTTCATTTTCTTTAGTTTTTAGGTTCAAATCTTGAGGTCATCTACTACAATAATATTGTAGTTTATCTGATTTTTTGAATTTGTATCTCTGTCTTATTTCCCAAAGCTAGCTGAAACAAGAAATAATTATGACCTTACATGAAATAAATAGATTGGAAGAAACAAGAAACAGAGAGGAAGATTCATGACATGATTTATCGAGGTGAGTGTTTTACGAAAAAGCACGTAAGTCACAAGAAGTCCGAGACGGGAAGGCCTCATAACTGTTATGGTGACAATGATGAGATAAACCTCTAAACTTCATAAATTGTTAATGTACGTGAATAGGATATTTTTGACTTTGTTAGATCATAAAATAATAAAAGCAAACAGCTCTAATAGTATTCTGGTACATGTTTGGCTATATAAGCAAGGTTGTGTTTGTCTCCTTGTTGTACACACAACACAGTGCTACTTATTTCTGTTTGATATT